AGAAAGACACACACTTTCTCCCTTTCTCTCCCTCTCACTCTCTTTCTTTAGTTCCCCTCAAACAGTTGCCCTGGCAAGGATAGCTTGCCTGAGGGGGAGCGTATCGAATCTGCAAAGAGATTTTCTCACCACACAGAGGGAACAGAAAACCCTCTGTCGTTTCTGTCCTTCTGTTGTTTGTCACCAACGGGGGTAAGGGTGTTTTTGTGTGATGGCAGTTTAGAGAGGCTGCTTCAAACGTGAGACTGACATTGTGTCATCGTCATGGTGACTGAGGCAGTGACTAGGCAACATCATACTACCCAGAATTCTCAGAAAAATTGTCACCGTCATGGTTACAGGAACTTGGAACCGTTGGACACCGTTGGAGTGGTAAGCAATAGGATTATGATGAAATGCTTTTCATAACATTTGATTTTATGAGAATCTTTTAATTCTTAGAATGTCTATTCATTCCAAAAAGCTGCAACTTTTAGATAAGGGAAAGTTATTTTGGACCAAGAGGAAACAAATCACTGACTGTTCTTTCGATTTGAGTACAAGTAGTACACCGGGACTAAAGTAACATTGAAACTTAATAGTCTCACTGCAACTGAGTAGCGTAGAGAGGTTTTGTAACCATGTATCACCTGTGGCAGGCAGCTGTAAAGTTGCATAGTGTCACGATCGTCTGAAGAAGCGGACCAATACGCAGCGCGTGGAGTGAACATGATGACTTTTATTAAATAAAGCAACCACGAAAAAACAACAAATGACGATAGTGAAGTCCTCTGTAACACTGACAGAAACATGGAACAAAAACCCACAATTCCCACAAGAAAACATACAGAATAAATATGGCTCCCAATCAGAGATAACGAGCCGACAGCTGACACTCGTTACCTCCGATTGGGAGTCAATGACCAAACCTAGAAATACACACAACAGAACTACCAACATAGAAATACACCCAAAACACAACCAACCGAATACACCCTTACAACCAACCCCACAACAAATACCCAACAAAACAAATACACCCTGGCTCAAATCCAAAAGTCCCGGAGCCAGAGTGTTACAGTACCCCCCCCTAAAGGTGCGCACTCCGGGCGCACCAGCATACAGTCTCGGGGAGGGTCTGGGTGGGCGTCTGTCCACGGTGGCGGTTCTGGCCCTGGTCGTGGTCCCCACCCCACCTTAGTCACCACCCGCTTCCCTAGCCTCCTCCACATGACCACCCCCCAATTAAACCCCACTGGATTAAGGGGCGGCACCGGACTAAGGGGCAGCACCGGACTAAGGGGCAGCACCGGACTAAGGGACAGTACCTGACTAGCTGGCTCTGGCGGATCCTGGCTGGACGGCTCTGGCGGATCCTGGCTGGACGGCTCTGGCGGATCCTGGCTGGCGGAAGGCTCTGGCTGATCCCGGCTGGAAGGCTCTGGCGGATCCCGGCTGGACGGCTCTGGCGGATCCCGGCTGGACGGCTCTGGCGGATCCTGGCTGGACGGCTCTGGCGGATCCTGGCTGGACGGCTCTGGCGGATCCTGGCTGGCGGAAGGCTCTGGCTGATCCTGTCTGGCGGAAGGCTCTGGCTGATCCTGTCTGGCGGAAGGCTCTGGCTGATCCTGTCTGGCGGAAGGCTCTGGCTGATCCTGTCTGGCGGAAGGCTCTGGCTGATCCTGTCTGGCGGAAGGCTCTGGCTGATCCTGTCTGGCGGAAGGCTCTGGCTGCTCCTGTCTGGCGGAAGGCTCTGGCTGATCCTGTCTGGCGGAAGGCTCTGGCTGCTCCTGTCTGGCGGAGAGCTCTAGCGGCTCCGGTCTGGCGGACGGCTCTGAAGGCTCATGGCAGACGGGCGGCTTTGCAGGCTCAGTACAGACGGGCAGTTCCTGCGGCGCTTGGCAGACGGACAGTTCAGACGGCGTTGGGCAGACGGGCAGTTCAGGCGCCGTTGGGCAGACGGACATTTCAGACGGCGTTGGGCAGACGGACAGTTCAGGCCCCGTTGGGCAGACGGCAGACTCTGGCCGTCTGAGGCGCATCGTAGGCCTGGTGCGTGGTGCCGGAACAGGAGGTACCGGGCTGAGGACACGCATCTCAGGGCTAGTGCGGGGAGAAGCAACAGGGCATGCTTGGCCCTGGGGACGCACCGTAGGCCTGATGCGTGGTGCCGGAACTGGAGGTACCGGGCTGAGGACACGCATCTCAGGGCTAGTGCGGGAAGCAGCAACAGGACGCACAGGACTCTGGGGACACACAGGAGGCTTGGTGCGTGGTGTCTGCACTGGTGGTAAAGGGCTGGAGACACGCACCATAGAGCCAGTGCGTGGAGGAGACACAGGGCTCTGAAGACGCACTGGAAACCTGGTGCGTGGTGTAGGTACTGGAGGTACTGGGCTGGAGCGAGGAGGTGGTACCGGAAATACCGGACCGTGCAGGCGTACTGGCTCCCTTGAGCACTGAGCCTGCCCAACCTTCCCTGGGTTGATGCTCCCCGTCGCCCGACCAGTACGGGGAGGTGTAATAACCCGCACCGGCCTATGTGGGCGAACCGGGAACACCATGCGCAAGGCTGGTGCCATGTACGCCGGCCCGAGGAGACGCACTGGTGACCAGCTGCGTGGGACCGGCTTCATGACATCCGGCTCAACACTCAATCTAGCCCGGCCGATACGTGGAGCTGGACTGTACCGAACCGGGCTATGCCTGCGTACAGGAGACACCATGCGCTCAACTGCGTAACACGGTGTCTGCCCGTACTCTCGCTCTCCACGGTCAGTCCAGGGAGTAGGCGCAGGTCTCCTACCTGACTTCGCCACACTCCCTCTTAGCCCCCCCCCAAGAAATTCTTGGGTAGTACCCACAGGCTTCCAGTCTTGCCTCCGTGCTGCCTCCTCATATCGCCGCCTCTCGGCTTTAGCTGCCTCCAGCTCTTCACGAGGACGGCGATATTCTCCCGGTTGTGCCCACGGCCCCTTACCATCCAGAATCTCCTCCCATGTCCATGAATCCTTTATGGGTGGATATAAATCCTGTGTAGGTGGATCCTGTTACCGCTTGACACGCCGCTTGGTCCTTTTATGGTGGGTTTTTCTGTCACGATCGTCTGAAGAAGCGGACCAATACGCAGCGCGTGGAGTGAACATGATGACTTTTATTAAATAAAGCAACCACGAAAAACAACAAATGACGATAGTGAAGTCCTCTGTAACACTGACAGAAACATGGAACAAAAACCCACAATTCCCACAAGAAAACATACAGAATAAATATGGCTCCCAATCAGAGATAACGAGCCGACAGCTGACACTCGTTACCTCCGATTGGGAGTCAATGACCAAACCTAGAAATACACAAAACAGAACTACCAACATAGAAATACACCCAAAACACAACCAACCGAATACACCCTTACAACCAACCCCACAACAAATACCCAACAAAACAAATACACCCTGGCTCAAATCCAAAAGTCCCGGAGCCAGAGTGTTACACATAGTTTTCCCGCTACACCTTCCCAATACTTAGGCCTACATTTACATTTACATCATTTAGCAGATGCTCTTATCCAGAGCGACTTACAAATTGGTGCATTCAACTTATGATAGCCAGTGGGACAACCACTTTTTTTTTCTTTTTTTTATGGGGGGGTGGTAGAAGGATTACTTTATACTATTCCAGGTATTCCTTAAAGCGGTAGGGTTTCAAGTGTCTCCGGAAGGTGGTCAGTGACTCCGCTGTCCTGGCGTCGTGGGGGAGCTTGTTCCACCATTGGGGTGCCAGAGCAGCAAATAACTTTGACTGGGCTGAGCGGGAACTGTGAGCATACGAGCATACGACACAGTTTCTCTCTCCAGGTGTTCTTGGTTGACTCACTGGAAGGCGACTGGAATATGGCACCTTGCCCTAGAACTCCAAGGTCTTTATCTCAAATCAAGGCTTCTGACCCAGTTTGTCTGGCAGCTTATCAGGAGGAGATACAGTTGCTGTATCAGTATGATTGATTGGCTAACATTTCACATTGAAGAAGGCACAGTGATGCCGAAACGTTGGTGGTTTACCCAATAAATTACTGGGAGCTTATATAGAGTGTTTGAAAAATAATGACACTCCCCCACAACTTTTAAACTATGCTTGACTAAAGATTGGGGAAAAAAAGTTGTTTGCTTTTCTCATTGTTTGGTTGGTAGCGTTTTCTGAGTGTGGTAATGAGTATGATCTTACTGGAAGCTATATGTGTGTTCACAAGGCTAGTTGTGGTAGCTTGTGGTCAATGACAAGTCCAGACTGTAGGCGTTGATGCTGATCACGTGTCATGTGACATCAGAGCCGTTTGGCATCGATTGCATCAGTTCCACCAGTTTCTGGTCCCCCTTTTGTTTTGGGAGAACTGTGTTGGGAACTCTCAAGTGATTATTCAGATATATCATTGACATCCTGAGTTAGAGGGCGCTCAATGCAACACCTCTCACAACACTATCAGACAACACTACCAGACTGGTTCTGCAGTGAGGCACAGGGACCAGCCAGATAATAAGAGGTTTGGAGAGCGGGAATGCTGGAGAGAGAGAAAAACAAAAGAGGGGGGAGAGAAAAAAGTGTTAGAGGCAGCAAGTGGGAGAGTAAAAGAGAGAGAGAGCAACTGAATGAGCGGGGCTTTAGAACGAGATTAGAGTGTGTGTGTGTGTGTGTGTGTGTGTCTGTGCGTGTGAGTGTGTCTGTGTGTCTAAGAGAGAGAGGGAGAGAGTGGGAGAGGCCATTCCCCAGAGGTTTGGTCTAACTCCCAGTAGTATAAGTTATTTGCACAGCAGGACCAGTAGCAGCCTGCTTTGTCAGAGTAACTTGCTGTTCTGTAGTCGCAACAGCAGGTCACTGCAGACGGACTGAAAAAACATTACAGTTGTTTTGGGATCCAGAGTGCCAGAAGGAAGTGTGAGGGGTGTGTGTGACACATTGTGTGTTGGAGAGTGTGAGTGTGTGTGTGTGTGTGTGTGTGTGTGTGGGTGTGAGAGCGTACAAGGATGACCAGGGGGTCAGTCAATGGTGAGGGGACTGGGGTGAACAACACCCCTCAAAATGGGGGACACCCTGGGGATACCCTTGTCCCAAAAGAGGACCCTGACGCTCCCAACGGAAAGGTAGAGCTGAGGAAGAAGGTGACACTGCTTCGGGGAATCTCCATCATCATCGGTACCATCATCGGAGCGGGAATCTTCATCTCTCCCAAGGGAATCCTGAAGAACTCTGGGAGTGTTGGAATGTCTCTGGTGGTGTGGATCGCCTGCGGAGTGCTGTCCCTGTTCGGTGAGTCACACGTAGTTGTCGCCAGGAGGGAGGAGACAGACCTAAGTAAAGGTGTACAGAGTGGTTTTATGATGCGTGCGAACTGAAGCTATCAGGATGGAGTTTTTGTGTTTTTATTGCTGTTCAGTCTATTGGGTTACGACTCCCCTGCTTCCCCTTCCCTGAAGAACCTAGAGTTGACGTATCCTAAAACAAAGTGCAAAACGTGTAAAACAGCTTTTCTTGAGATGATGAGTGTGAATGAAAGCTTAGGGGGGTGGATGAACTTTGTAACTGTCTGCTGCTATGGAAAAGCTTCCGCCTCTACTCTTGCATTATTTCATTATATTACTGTAATTACAGAAGCCTTACTGTAGCTACTGCCTTCTAACTAACCATCAAACTGCTGAAACAGCAATTACTCTTTACGCTAACCTCTATGTCTATATTCCCTTTCTCTCTCTCTCTCTCTCTCTCTCTCTCTCTCTCTCTCTCTCTCTCTCTCTCTCTCTCTCTCGCTCTCTCTCTCTCGATCTCCCCCCACACACACATGATTATGAATACAATTAATCACATTTTCCTCTTATAGACAGTTATCTACTGTTGCTGATGCTGCCACTGTTTCACAGGTGGCTAGCCACTCCCCTGTCCTAAACCTTTCCCTCTCTCCTATCCCAGGGGCCCTGTCCTATGCAGAGCTGGGAACCAGCATTCAGAAATCTGGAGGACATTATACCTATATCCTGGAGGCCTTTGGACCACAGATGGCCTTCATACGCCTCTGGGCTGACCTCATCGCCATCAGGTAGGTGTGTGTGTGTGTGTGTGTGTGTGCGACAGAGATAGCAGCAGGAAGGGGGGGGGGGGGGGGGGGTAGATACATGCAATAAGGTGTGTGTATATCACTCTATACTGTCTGTGTGTTAGAGAGAGAAGGGGATGGGCCAAGCGTGTATCTCACCATTGTAAAGATAGCAAAGCCTCTCGGATCCCATCCTGGTCCGTTGATACACATGGTAGCAGAGCAGTGTAAACAAACCTGCTATACTATGCTGTACTGCAGGTTAACCCAGGCCAGGGGGGGATGTATTGTTTTGGGTCAATGGGAAATGAACAGCGATCTGGGGATGAGCCCACAGACTGTGCAACAGTTATTAGATTCTTATTAGAGCAATAGAAGACACTGGAATTGGTTCACCTCCACATGTGGTAGATGTCAAGTTTTATGTGTATGTGTTTAATTTAGATACTTAGTGTGTAGGCCAACCTACCTACTACACACTGTAATAATGTGTCAGTGTTCTGAGAATTAAGTTGGTTTGTTATTAGTTGGTACATGTCTTATCAGCTTTTCTTTCAGATATATTGAATACATTTGCCATTTCATTCTGGACCCTGAGTTCATTTACTCGTACAGTGAGGGAAAAAAGTATTTGATCCCCTGCTGATTTTGTACGTTTGCCCACTGACAAAGAAATGATGAGTCTATAATTTTAATGGTAGGTTTATTTGAACAGTGAGAGACAGAATAACAACAAAAAATCCAGAAAAACGCATGTCAAAAATGTTATAAATTGATTTGCATTTTAATGAGGGAAATAAGTATTTGACCCCCTCTCAATCAGAAAGATTTCTGGCTCCCAGGTGTATTTTATACAGGTAATGAGCTGAGATAAGGAGCACACTCTTAAAGGGAGTGCTCCTAATCTCAGCTTGTTACCTGTATAAAAGACACCTGTCCACAGAAGCAATCAATCAATCAGATTCCAAACTCTCCACCATGGCCAAGACCAAAGAGCTCTCCAAGGATGTCAGGGACAAGATTGTAGACCTACACAAGGCTGGAATGGGCTACAAGACCATCGCCAAGCAGCTTGGTGAGAAGGTGACAACAGTTGGTGCGATTATTCGCAAATGGAAGAAACACAAAAGAACACCCTCGGCCTGGGGCTCCATGCAAGATCTCACCTCGTGGAGTTGCAATGATCATGAGAACGGTGAGGAATCAGCCCAGAACTACACGGGAGGATCTTGTCAATGATCTCAAGGCAGCTGGGACCATAGTCACCAAGAAAACAATTGGTAACACACTACGCCGTGAAGGACTGAAATCCTGCAGCGCCCGCAAGGTCCCCCTGCTCAAGAAAGCACATATACAGGGCCGTCTGAAGTTTGCCAATGAACATCTGAATGATTCAGAGGAGAACTGGGTGAAAGTGTTGTGGTCAGATGAGACCAAAATCGAGCTCTTTGGCATCAACTCAACTCGCCGTGTTTGGAGGAGGAGGAATGCTGCCTATGACCCCAAGAACACCATCCCCACCGTCAAACATGGAGGTGGAAATATTATGCTTTGGGGGTGTTTTTCTGCTAAGGGGACAGGACAACTTCACCGCATCAAAGGGACGATGGACGGGGCCATGTACCGTCAAATTTTGGGTGAGAACCTCCTTCCCTCAGCAAGGGCATTGAAAATGGGTTGTGGATGGGTATTCCAGCATGACAATGACCCAAAACACACGGCCAAGGCAACAAAGGAGTGGCTCAAGAAGAAGCACATTAAGGTCCTGGAGTGGCCTAGCCAGTCTCCAGACCTTAATCCCATAGATAATCTGTGGAGGGAGCTGAAGGTTCGAGTTGCCAAACGTCAGCCTTGAAACCTTAATGACTTGGAGAATATCTGCAAAGAGGAGTGGAACAAAATCCCTCCTGAGATGTGTGCATACCTGGTGGCCAACTACAAGGAACGTCTGACCTCTGTGATTGCCAACAAGGGTTTTGCCACCAAGTACTAAGTCATGTTTTGCAGAGGGGTCAAATACTTATTTCCCTCATTAAAATGCAATTCAATTAATAACATTTTTTCTGTCTCTCACTGTTCAAATAAACCTACCATTAAAATTATAGACTGATCATGCCTTTGTCAGTGGGCAAATACTTTTTTCCCTCACTGTATGTATGTACTCAATATACTGTACTTTATGTTTATCTCTATATTATAAACTGGGGGATTTGAGCCCTGAATGCTGATTGGCTGACAGCCGTGGTATATCAGACCGTATGACAAAACAATTATTTTTACTACTCTAATTACGTTGGTAGGCAGTTTATAATTGCAATAAGGAACCTCGGGGTTGGTGGTAAATGGCCCATATACCACAGCTAAGGGCTGTATCAAGGCACTCCGCGTTGTGTCGTGTATATGAACAGCCTGTCACGTCTCCTCCCGTTGCTCCCCTCCGGCGCTCTGATTCGCCGGTCTACTGAGCCACCGGTCTGAGCGCACCATCTCGGCAACACCGGAATGGAAACCCAACGCTCCCTAATCACCTCCAGCACACCTGCACCTCATCATCTCATCACCACCACTATAAAGCCCTGGACTGTTCAGTCATTGTTGTGTGTGATTGTTAGTGTCATGTCGTGTACTCGCTCTTTGTTGTTCTCTTGCTCAGTGTTAAGTAAACCTTTACATTGTTGATTCCTGCGTCTGCGTCCTGCCTCTTCGTATCGTCAGTACTCGTCACACAGCCTTTAGCCGTGGTATATTGGCCATATACCACACCCCCTCTGGCATTACAGTGGGGAAAAAAAGTATTTAGTCAGCCACCAATTGTGCAAGTTCTCCCACTTAAAAAGATGAGAGAGGCCTGTAATTTTCATCATAGGTACACGTCAACTATGACAGACAAATAGAGAAAAAAAATTCAGAAAATCACATTGTAGGATTTTTTATGAATTTATTTGCAAATTATGGTAGAAAATAAGTATTTGGTCACCTACAAACAAGCAAGATTTCTGGCTCTCACAGACCTGTAACTTCTTCTTTAAGAGGCTCCTCTGTCCTCCACTCGTTACCTGTATTAATGGCACCTGTTTGAACTTGTTATCAGTATAAAAGACACCTGTCCACAACCTCAAACAGTCACACTCCAAACTCCACTATGGCCAAGACCAAAGAGCTGTCAAAGGACACCAGAAACAAAATTGTAGACCTGCACCAGGCTGGGAAGACTGAATCTGCAATAGGTAAGCAGCTTGGTTTGAAGAAATCAACTGTGGGAGCAATTATTAGGAAATGGAAGACATACAAGACCACAGATAATCTCCCTCGATCTGGGGCTCCACGCAAGATCTCACCCTGTGGGGTCAAAATGATCACAAGAACGGTGAGCAAAAATCCCAGAACCACACGGGGGGACCTAGTGAATGACCTGCAGAGAGCTGGGACCAAAGTAACAAAGCCTACCATCAGTAACACACTACGCCGCCAGGGACTCAAATCCTGCAGTGTCCCCCTGCTTAAGCCAGTACATGTCCAGGCCCGTCTGAAGTTTGCTAGAGTGCATTTGGATGATCCAGAAGAGAATTGGGAGAATGTCATATGGTCAGATGAAACCAAAATACAACTTTTTGGTAAAAACTCAACTCGTCGTGTTTGGAGGACAAAGAATGCTGAGTTGCTTCCAAAGAACACCATATCTACTGTGAAGCATGGGGGTGGAAACATCATGCTTTGGGGCTGTTTTTCTGCAAAGGGACCAGGACGACTGATCCGTGTAAAGGAAAGAATGAATGGGGCTATGTATTGTGAGATTTTGAGTGAAAACCTCCTTCCATCAGCAAGGGCATTGAAGATGAAACGTGGCTGGATCTTTCAGCATGACAATGATCCCAAACACACCGCCCGGGCAACGAAGGAGTGGCTTCGTAAGAAGCATTTCAAGGTCCTGGAGTGGCCTAGCCAGTCTCCAGATCTCAACCCCATATAAAATCTTTGGAGGGAGTTGAAAGTCTGTGTTGCCCAGCGACAGCCCCAAAACATCACTGCTCTAGAGGAGATCTGCATGGAGGAATGGGCCAAAATACCAGCAACAGTGTGTGAAAACCTTGTGAAGACTTACAGAAAACGTTTGACCTGTGTCATTGCCAACAAAGGGTATATAACAAAGTATTGAGAAACTTTTGTTATTGACCAAATACTTATTTTCCACCATAATTTGCAAATAAATTCATTAATAATCCTACAATGTGATTTTCTGGATATTTTTTCCTCATTTTGTCTGTCATAGTTGACGTGTACCTATGATGAAAATTACAGGCCTCTCACATCTTTTTAAGTGGGAGAACTTGCACAATTGGTGGCTGACTAAATACTTTTTTCCCCCACTGTATTGCTTAAGTATCCCCTGGATATTTTACTGTTATTGCTTCAAATGAACCTAGCAGACATATTTGAGTTAGTAACCACTGAATATCAGTAACTATAGTTATTTGTCTGTTATAGACTGTTAGTGTCAAGGGAAGCTAATAAACAAGTGTGAGGTTGGGTAAGACAGGTTCATGTCAATAGGAGGTCACATGCTCCCCAACACTCTGAACAGTGAATAATGTCCCAGATCTCACAGCATTGTGGGTCAGTGTTTCCGGTCATTGTGTTTGCTGCACATGTATTTTGGGGTCAGTGTTTTGGGGTCTGTGTGTGTTGTCTGTTCTAGACCTGCAGGGTTGGCAGTGATATCCCTGGCCTTCGGACAATATATACTGGAGCCCATATTCATGCCCTGTGGAGTGCCCGAGATTGCTATTAAACTGGCCACCTCTATAGGAATAAGTATGTCTAAGATTGATGCTACAGCATTACAGTATATTGAATTGAACAAACTTTGGAACATAGGATTTTTGTGCTTGTCAGTGAGATGATTCAAGTGAATGTAAGATACCAGTCAGTCTCACATAAAGTGTGTGTTTGTGTGTGTGCGTGTTTGTGTATATTCCTGCTCCACAGCGTCAGTGATGTATCTCAACAGTATGAGTACGAGCTGGACAAACAGGATTCAGATCTTCCTCACCTTTAGCAAGCTGCTGGCCATCGTCATCATCATTGTACCTGGCCTCTATATGCTCTTCAAAGGTAAGCCTTCATCATTATCATCATCGTTATCATCATCACCATCATCATTATCCTCATCATCGTCATCATCACCATCATCACCATGATCATCACCATCAACACCATCATCATATGTGACCGACCGCCTCGATTCGTTCTTATGTAGCAAAATTTGAAATTGTAGTTTTTACATTTGATAAAAGTAGAGACTCAGACCTAGAAAATTGTATATCATACCTTGCAGTTGAGGAACAATGGAAAAGTCGTTCTGCTTTGAAAGTTGATAAACTTGTAACCCCACTTTTGAGAAAATGTCCCTTGAATGTTTTGGTACACCTACTGGAGAGCTCTTCTTTGTCTACACCCATTCAGCATCGTTCACACCCTCTTAAGCCTCAGCCCCATCCATCTCATTAAGGAAACACATGTGAGGCCATGTGCTAAACAAAGTGAGTAATTTAGTAAACAACCAAAGATTTCAAGACTAAAAGTGGTAAAAGTAGTAGCCTACAATAAGGAAAAACTCCAGGTAAAAATACACTTTATATACTGTAGTCCTTGGCCTATATCCTAATCTGACTTTGGTGCAGGTCATGTTGTTCTTCACATTACCGTTTCTGGTAAACACACACTATAGCAAATAAAATCGAAGTTTATTTTTCAAACGCACAGGATACAGAAGGTGTAAACGGTACAGTGAAATGGTTACTTGCATAGTAGCAATATCACAAACAGTAAGTGTCCAGATACAAATATTGTATACATATTTTATCATTATTAGATGATGCTTACCCGACATACTTGTCTAAATTGATGGGTCATGTGAAGGAAATGCTATAACCACCCACCAGCCACATCTAGCTAAGTGGATGGGTCACTATTGTCTAGACAAATACAATAGATGGCCGTAATCACCCCCAGACACACCTGGCTAACTTGATGGGTCATGTAATCATCTGGCGAAGTAGCTAGCTAGCTAAACAATGAACCGTCATAATCCCAACTCAGACTACTACCAACACAAACATTGTCATTTTTACATTTTACATTTTAGTCATTTAGTAGACGCTCTTATCCAGAGCGACTTACAGTTAGTGCATTCATCTTAAGATAGCTAGGTGGGACAACCACATATCACAGGCATTTAACTCAGTTTTGTTTGTAGCTACACCTTGTTTGGCCAGCGTTGTGTCAAGTCACTCTGGTTCACACTGATCGTGGCATGTGCAGAAAGTAGCCCATCACTTTTTCCAACTGATCTGTCGATAGCACCTGCTAAATTCAGGGCATCAATGTTGTTGAGAAAAGTAGCAAAACTTTTGTAGTTCTCGATGGCTAATGTTCATATCTTTAAAAATGGCACCATAGAAAGGACTATCAACAAATACTGATCAGCTCATGTTATAGACATAAGCATGCTACATGGCAGACCAATCCAAACTCATCTCCCGGCATGTCCAGCCCATCCATTATCTCAGCCAATCGTGGCTAGCGGGAAGGTTCCTGTCTTTTTCCGTGGCTAAACCAACTAGGCTCGTAATTTTACAATTCTATTCGTATTTACGAATGTACTACAAGTTTGTTATTAAAGCACATGAAAGTTCACATGTTCCAGAAGACATTTCTGCCAAAAAACGCATTTTGATAGAAAATAAATGTTTACTTTAAAATGGCTCTCCTGTGAAGTAGTGACATGTGACAAAAGCCTAGTTTCCTGAAACGAGTCACATATGTTACACTGGATTAAAACCACAAAAATGGCATGCTAATGCTTACATCACATTGAATCCCTCACTCTTTCATGACTCCTCAAAAACGTTGAAATTATTGAAAGCTTGAAAATGTTTGTGGTACATAGGGTTATATTTGTTTGTTTGTTACAGGGACATTCTACAGATCCCACCACTTGACCAGAATAGCTATACTTTAACATACTTGGTGTTTATTGGCTACAGAGTAGCTGTACTATCAACATGACACATTACAGGCTTGGTACATAATAGCTACAAAGTGGCTGTAGGCCTATACACAGCTAACATACTTTACATTTTTTACATTTCTAGTCATTTAGCAGACTGCCTTAGACCACTGCGCCATTCGGGAGATGCTTGGTGTTCTACCATACCAATGTTCATTGAACGTCAGTCATTTCAGCTTTTAGAGGGTTATTATCTGCCCCTTTGCAAGTGTGTTCCAATAGAGAGGAATACACTACATACACTATGTGTGTGTTGTACTGGAATGCTCTTACGGGTGCATTCTTATATGTACTCATGCTAAACTAACTAGAAAGATGTTTAAATATACCTTGTCAAACACTCAACAAGTATTGATATTATTTGGTGAATGTGTCATTCCTTCTTTGTGTATGTGTGTGTGTGTGCAGGGGAGACTAAGAACTTTGAGAATGCGTTTGAGGTCAGTAATATCAAGCTCACAGGCCTTCCTCTGGCCTTCTACTCTGGGATGTACGCCTATGCTGGGTGGTGGGTATGGACTTCTTATAGCATAACTAGCTTTTATATCGAATTCTACACTTTTCATGAAGCCAACTAGTATAATACATTATTACTTGGCATGAGCATGTATGAGCTCTTGTAATGTACAGTATTGCCAAATGTAATATTGTTATAAAGCTCCAACTTTTTGCCTGCAGGTTTTACCTGAACTTTGTGACTGAGGAAGTAGAGAATCCAGAAAAGTGAGTTCATCCTCCTCATTCCATATCTCGTTTACATAGGTTTGCCTGATTGTAAGGTGAGATCGAATTATATTTTGATTGCGTTGTTGGTCTCAATCTCAGGACTGTCCCATTGGCCATCTCGATCTCCATGGCGATAGTCACTTCGTGCTACGTGTTGACCAACGTGGCGTACTACACTGTGATGTCAGCAGAGGAGCTGTTGGCATCGCAAGCCGTCGCTGTGGTAAGGCATCCAACAAGCTCTCTGTCTATTGGCCGATTTGATCGACACTGATCCTACAACCACCACTATTGGCTAGCGTTAACATAGGAGTCCTATGGATTTCTGTGTGTGATGTATTGATACATTTGAAGCTTATTGACTGCAGTCACACACCTCGTTCATCAGTGCTTCATCAGGGCCTGATTCCATCCCGCACTGAGGAGTGATTGATCTGTGGTATTGTTTTCCTGCACTATAAACTGCTCTTAGCGTTTCGTCATTAGTAGACCTCCAAGCCCAACACCTCTGCTTCCCAGTATGGCCTTATGTGATTCTACACAGTCCATCCCTCTCAATGATAATTAAATCATGCTGCAGTCTTAATGACATAGCCATAGACAGAGACTGTATACTGATCTCAGACCTGTTTGGAGTAGGGGGAAGGTTATTCACTAAAAGGGCTCTGATCTGATCAGATTTTTCTAATGGTGTTAGTTTTATTAAAGTTTTACAGGTCTGTGATGTTGCTCTTAAGGAAAGTGTGAGACCATTGGAGCTACGTCTATGTTCGTTAAATAGATGATAATTGAATTGAGAATCTTTCTCTGTATCTCTTTGTCCCTGTTTAGTTCATACTCTCTCACTCTCTCTCTCTCTCTCTCTCTCTCTCTCTCTCTCTCTCTCTCTCTCTCTCTCTCTCTCTCTCTCTCTCTCTCGCTCTCTCCTCTCTCTCTCTCCTCTCCTCTCTCTCTCTCTCTCTCTCTCTCGCTCTCTCTCTCTCTCTCTCTCTCTCTCTCTCTCTCTCTCTCTCTCTCCTCTCGTCTGTTTTGCCTGCAGACGTTTGCAGAGAAGATGATGGGGAACTTTTCGGTGGCGGTGCCGGTATTTGTAGCCTTGTCGTGCTTTGGTTCGATGAATGGCTGCTTGTTCGCTTTCTCAAGGTGGGCTGCGTGAACTCAGGCGTCAAACCGCAGCCTTCGCTAGCTTCTCCTGCCTTTTCCTGCCTTCCCTTCCTGACACAATGTTTGAGGACTGTGTGAGAGGAATCTAATCATATATATATTTTTTACTGCCAAAACCTGTTAAGCAGAAGTTTAAATGTGTGGTATAGCGGTATAGTGAAAACACAACAACTGACATTGCTTTACTGTGTGAAGGTCAGTTATGACTGTCAGTTGTTTTCATATATTGGATTTTGTTAGACACTGCTTACACAAATCGTACCATAATTCTATCCTCCTAATTCCTGCTTACAAGCAAAAACTAAAGCAGGAAGCACCAGTGACTCGGTCAATAAAAAAGTGGTCAGATTAAGCAGATGCTAAGCTACAGGACTATTTTGCTAGCACAGACTGGAATATGTTCTAGGATTCTTCCAATGGAATTGAGGAGTACACCACATCAGTCACTGGCTTCATCAATAAGTGCATCGATGACGTCGTCCCCACAGTGACTGTACGTACATACCCCAACCAGAAGCCATGGATTACAGGCAACATCCGCACTGAGCTAAAGGGTAGAGCTGCCGCTTTCAAGGAGCGAGACTCTAACCCGGAAGCTTATAAGAAATCCCGCTATGCCCTCTGACGAACCATCAAACAGGCAAAGCGTCAACACAAGACTAAGATCGAATCGTACTACACCGGCTCTGGCGCTCGTCGGATGTGGCAGGGCTTGCAAACTATTACAGACTACAAAGGGAAGCACATTCGCGAGCTGCCCATTGACACAAGCCTACCAGACGAGCTAAATTACTTCTATGCTCGCTTCGAGGCAAGCAACACTGAAACATGCATGAGAGCATCAGCTGTTCCGGACGACTGTGTGATCACGCTCTCCGTAGCCGATGTGAGTAAGACCATTAAACAGGTCAACATTCACAAGGCCGCAGGGCCAGACGGATTACCAGGACTTGTACTCCGAGCATGCGCTGACCAACTGGCAAGTGTCTTCACTGACATTTTCAACCTCTCCCTGTCTAAGTCTGTAATACCAACATGTTTCAAGCAGACCACCATAGTCCCTGTGCCCAAGAACACTAAGGTAACCTGCCTATATGACTACCGACCCGTAGCACTCACGTCTGTATCCATGAAGTGCTTTGAAAGGCTGGTCATGGCTCACATCAACACCATTATCCCAGAAACCCTAGAACCACTCCAATTTGCATACCGCCCCAACAGATCCACAGATGATGCAATCTCTATTGCGCTCCGCACTGCCCTTTCACACCTGGACAAAAGGAACACCTATGTGAGAATGCTATTCATTGACTACAGCTCAGCGTTCAACACCATAGTGCCCTCAAAGCTCATCACTAAGCTAAGGACCCTGGGACTAAACACCTCCCTCTGCAACTGGATCCTGGACTTACTGGCAGGCCGCCCCCAGGTGTTAAGGGTAGGTAACAACACATCCGCCACGCTGATCCTCAACACGGGGGCCCCTCAGGGGTGCGTGCTCAGTCCCCTCATTTACTCCCTGTTCACTCATGACTGCATGGCCAGGCACGACTCCAACACCATCATTAAGTTTGCCGATGACACAACAGTGGTAGGCCAGATCTGTGTGAAGGTCAGTTATCTCTCTCTCAATGACGAGATAGCCTATAGGGAGAAGGTCAGAGAACTGGCCGTGTGGTGCCAGGACAACAACATCTCCCACAACGTGATGAAGACAAAGATGATTGTGGACTACAGGAAAAAGAAGAGGGCTGTAGTGGAGCAGGTTGAGAGCTTCAAGTTCCTTGGTGTCCACATCACCAACAAACTAACATGGTCCAAGCACACCAAGACAGTCGTGAAGAGGGCACGACAAAACCTATTCCCCCTAAGGAGACTGAAAAGATTTGGTATGGGTCCTCAGATCTTCAAAAGGTTCTACAGCTGCACCATCGAGAGCATCCTGACTGGTTTCATCACTGCTTGGTATGGCAACTGCTCAGCCTCCGACCGCAAGGCACTACAGAGGGTAGTGCGTATGGCCCAGTACATCACTGGGGCCAAACTTCCTGCCATCCAGGACCTCTATACCAGGCGGTGTCAGAGGAAGGCCCTAAAAATTGTCAAAGACTCCAGCCACCCTAGTCATAGACTGTTCTCACGGCACCGGAGCGCCAAGTGTAGGTCCATGAGGCTTCTAAACAGCTTCTACCCCCAAGCCATAAGACTCCTGAACATCTAATCAAATGGCTACCAGACTATTTGCATTGTGTCCCCCCCCCCCCCTTTTTACGTTGCTGCTACTCTCTGTTTATTATCTATGCATAGTCACTTTATTAAATCTACCTACATGCACATATTACCTCAATAACCTTGACTAGCCACTAACATTGACTCTGGACCGGTACCCCTTGTATATAGCCTGGCTATTGTTATTTTACTGCTGCTCTTTAATTATTTGTTACTTTTATTTCTTATTATTTTGATATTTCATGTTTATTTTTAATTATTTTGGTATTCTTTCTTAGAATTGCATTGTTGGTTAAGGGCTTGAAAGTAAGCATTTCACTGTAAGGTCTACACCTGTTGTATTCTGCACATGTGACAAATACAATTTGATTTGATTTGTTGTTGAAGGTATTTCTAATTTAATCCTGAAGATTGTGTGTGATTGTGTTGGTCATTCTAGAATGTTCTATGTGGCGTCACGCGAGGGCCATCTCCCTGAGGTTCTGTCCATGATCCACGTCCGCAGACACACACCTTTGGCAGCCGTCCTCGTTCTGGTCAGATGAATATATATATTTTTTCATACACACATGTCACTCTTTACTGTCTTTATGAGGACCTGCTCTACATGTTCCACAATTAAAACTTTGCATTCTTTCCTGCATTCATCGTTTACATGTTTTAACTGTTAACATGCTTTGTGGTTACCTGTGAGCATCTCTGCCACTTCTTCATTGGATCCATGTGTGTGTTCTCTCTCTGTCTCTGTGTGTGGGTGTGTGTGTGTGTGTGTGTGTGTCGGTGTGTCGGAGTGTGCGTTCTTTCTCTGTGTTTATGTCTCCAGTACCCTATGACGGTGTTTCAGCTGTTTGTGGGAGATATCTACAGCCTGTTGAACTTCATGAGCTTCCTCCGCTGGCTCTTCATTGGCGTGGCTGTGCTGGGCCTCATCTACATGAGATACACACGGCCTGACATGCCACGCCCTTTCAAGGTCGGTCTAACCCACGTGACTCATCAACCATCAAATTATCAAATGTATTTATAAAGCCCTTTTTACATCACCAGTTGTCACAAAGTGCTTATGCACACGGACACACAGATACACACAGATACACACACATACACACAGTCACAGATGCATATAGACATATCAAAGTCGATTATGACATCGCTCCTTCGGTGCCACTTCATGTGGCTCTGGAGGCCGATGCACGAGCCGCAGATATTCAAGCATCTTGCACACATGGACAAACAGAGTATGAGTCTGTCTAATGGCTGTCTTATTCAAAATAACTCGAACTACTGAATGCTTAAAATTTTAGATCCTTGACTCCTTTGTACTTCTTTGTCTTTCTTTCCAGGTTCCTCTTTTCATTCCAGCCATTTTCTCCTTCACCTGTTTCTTCATGGTGTTCCTCTCTCTCTACTCTGACCCCGTCAACACAGGGATAGGATTAGCCATCTCCCTAACAGGAATCCCAGCCTACTATATTTTCATTGTGTTTGACCGCAGACCCAAGTGGCTACAGAATGGTTTAGGTAACACACTACCTACACTTAGAAGGCATTAAATGCATTTACTAGACATCACTGTGAAAATCATACATACTACTGGCATATGGACAGCATTGATGAATCTTAATAAAGCAAATGTTCAACTCAAGGGATTAATCGGTGCGTCAGTGGACCATGAAACTATACACGCATAGTTTACCACATACAATCAATTTCCAATCCATTTTCAGCATGGCATCCTATCATAATTGCTGCATAAATCCCAATAATGTGACCTAACCCTCCGTAATTATTGGGACAGTGAAGCATTTTTTCTTCTTTTGGCTCTATACTCCAAAAGTTTGGATTTGAAATCAAACAATAACTATGAAGTTAAAGTGTAGACTGTCATCTTAATTTGAGGGTATTTTAATCCATATCGGGTGAACTGTTTAGAAAGTACAGCACCTTCTGTACATAGTCCACCATTTTAGGGGAGCAAAAGTAAAGGGGACAAATTAACTTGATATTTGTGCATCTATAACTTTCTCACTCATAATTATTCACGATTCATTCAGGATTATACGTAATCATGGTAACATCCACATTCATGTAGAAGTGTTTAGAAACATATTCTATTCATATTTACAATAAAAGTGACTCAAATTGCACAATACATTATTTACTATTTATTTCTATTGGGCACAAATCTGAACACAACCAAAACAAACAGCAAATGCATCCAACAAATGTGTAGAGTCACAAGCTTGATGTAGTCTTTGCGTGCTATGAATATGGGACAAAATACTTAACGTTTTACTAATTTAATACACATATAAGTGAATTTGTCCCAATACTTTTGCGCCCCTAAAATGGTGGGGGAGGACAATGTACAAAAAGTGCTGTAATTTCTAAACGGTTCACCCAATATGGATGAAAAAACTTCAAATTAAAGCTCACAGTCTTCACTTTAACCTCATAGTCATTGTTTGAGTTCAAATCCAAAGTTATGAAGTATAGAGCCAAAAGTAGAAAAAATGCTTAACTTTCCCAATAATTATGGAGGGCACTGTAAAATGGTATCATAATAGTTTTTCTATGTATTTTATTCTGTCTCCAGATTCCTTCAACAGATCTGTCCAGATCATCCTGGAGGTGATCCCAGCAGAACACTGACACTCCTTCACACCATATCCCCACACCGATGGCCTCTATTGCATCGTTTCATAGAATAAATTATTATGACTCTCCCATCCTGCTGGCCTTATCTAG